ATGCCTATGCAACCTTCAAACGAAAAAACAGATCGTAAAAGAAAGAAGAAATCAAATTCGTCGGACACGAGTATCAACACAGGAGACACGCCGTCTAGTAAACGGGTACCCGACATGGACACAGACAGCACAGTGAGACAAGCCATCGAGACAGTGTACAGTCCTCACCCACACCAGCATATGTATCAAACACTACCAGGTCAGTTACACCATTAGCCAAGTCCATTCCCGTCTTCTCAAACACCCCTTCCCACGCCTGATAATTCAGCCATAACGGCGAAGCTTGAACACATGGACAAAAAGTTATCGAAACTTGATGCAATAGAAGCTGAAGTGTTGTCTATCAAAACAAACATTTCAAGACTTGAAATTTAAGTCCAAGAAATCGAAATATTGAAAACTAGAATGAATGACGTTGAAAAATTTAGCAAGTTCGTAGGGGACAGTTTTGATGAATGGACAAAAGATAAAGCTGAACTTTTCTGTAATGTGAAGGCTTTAAGTGTAAAGGTCAGTGTTTGTGCGCCACAATTACCAGATCTGAAGCAGGAGAATATTGTTCTAAAAGAAGCTCTAATTGATCAAAGATGTCGTTCCATGAGGGACAATTTGATCTTTAATGACATACCTGAAACTGAACCAGAGGCTACTTTAGAGAGCTGTGAAAGGGTATTAAAGGATTTCAATAAAACCCATTTAGATCTAGAGTCAGAACAGATGAGCTTCAAGAGAGTACACAGGATTGGCAAGCCCCGCCCACCCAGGCACCCAGGTGACACTCCCCGACCCCGATCGCTGATTGCTAAGTTTGTCTTCACGAGGGAAAGGGACTCGGTCAAGCTGCTGCGAGGAAACTCAAAGGTAAACCATTTACAATAAACGAACAGTTCCCCGAGGAAGTAAGCCAGTACAGACGAGACGTGCTCGTCCCTCTCATGAAGCAGGCCCGACAGAGGGGACAGCAGGCCTATATCGTAATGGACAAGTTATACATGAACCGTGAGCTACAGTCTGGACCCACTCCACCCCCGTACAGGCCACCCCCAGTAACTACTAACAGGAGATAGAAGCACGCCGTCGGACAAGAGACTGATTCACGTGAATGCTGCAATAGCATAACTCAAAACTCAAATCACATAAGCTTTCAAAATACATTACAACTACAGAAAGACAATAAAGGCCAGAAGTGTAATAGACTTAAAGACTCCTATAAACAACAAACATATTACGACAAATGTGGAAAAGACATAGATCTAGATACACCAGATCATTGTATTGTTGTTACAGATACAATTATGTCATTAAAATGTAAAGTCCAGTTTGACGTCACGAGCATTGAGAGTCATTCCGATAACTCTACTAAAGGTGTATTGCATGATCATGTAAGTAGCAAACTAACAAACCAGGTCAACCCTGAAAACTCTTTGAATATCGATAACGTTTCTGATAAAGGTAGTTTTATTGAAAATGAAGACTCTTTTGCGAACGACATGACCTGTGTAGCCAATTGTGATGTAAAAGCTGCTGTTGATGACGATGACGATGATAATGATATTATTGTTGATAATGATGATGATGATGATAATGATGATGATGACCACAAATCCCATTTATCCAAAATACGTGTCCTTAATATAAATGTTTGTGGTTTGAGGAAAAGAGTTTAATATGACGTATTTAGAAGCATGATTAATGATAACGGTATTATTTGTTTCCAAGAAACTAAAACAGATTGTTTGGATGACATAAAAATAGATGGTTATAAACTTTTCCTTAGAAATAGACAAGGTGCTTCACGGAAATCAGGTGGGATTGGAATTGCAATAAGTGAAAACTTAATTGATTCTGTATCAGTTCTTGATGAAGTTACGAATTATATTGTATGGATGAAGCTTTCAAAATGTTTGTTTGGTGGTGATCAAGACATGTATGTAGGTGTTGTTTACCACCCACCGGAAGGTTCGAAGTACGTTAATTCTGATTCTTTTGATGAAATTGAATAATCAACACTAAGATGTCTATCATTAAGCGACTATGTTTGGGATACATCCCAGAATCCTGGCTCATTGGTTTTATTCGACCTATCCTTGACGGTGGTTTCCTGTCAAAATGGGACATGTGGCGGGTTTTCTGGCGACAATCCCTGCACATCTGAGGCCACGACGTACGGTTTGTGAAGATATTCGTCGAAGGCCAGGGATGCTTTTTGCAATCATTGTTGTTGGCTGGAATCGATTTCGTAGGTGTTTTGTTCTAATCCAGTTGTCTTGTCAATTATTGGTTACTCGTGGCCTGACACTCCGAGGATGGTCTCCGACCGTATTCGTCTGTTGCCATAAACACCAAATTGTGTTTCTGAGGACGTTAAATTGTCTTGCAACATCACGTTGACTCGATCCTGCTTCAAGCATACCAATGGCTCGCAGTCGCTCATTTTCGGACATGCGTGGCTTTTCATAATGTTGAATAATTGCGTAATTTTGTTGTTTTTCTGAGTGGTTATTGTCAACATGATGCTAAACAATGCATATGGAATCCTGTGAACGCACCTGTTTTTACACCCATTCTTGTTTTTATACCTATTCTTGGGTAGTGAATGCATGCTTTTCTGTAGCAGTTGCGTTGTTGTGACTTGATTCCATACATGTACTACAATATTGAAAACCAAACTTTACTTGTTTGAAAAATACACTAAAATATTGGTATCACAGAAACTTTTGTTGGTGAGTATAATATAGACATTAAATAGTTTATGCACAGGGCATGACATGGCCACCCAATTTATAGAATCGGGCCCATTCTACCGCCCGTGACGGGGGTTAAAGTACTGTAAAATTATTGTCCCCCTGAGAGGGCATAGTAAGTCCATATCATTCAAAGCCTGTTATTCCTATCATAGTTTTAATCGTAGAATATATGTTCTTTTAAATTCAGCTCAATTCCCTAATCGTCGCCAACAACTGAAGGGCTGATGTAAATCCTGCTGGGGTCCAAGCAGGTAGCAAAGGGTCCCCATGGTCCCAAGAATGGTGATCTACCTTCAGTTGCTGGCGATCTATAGCTCTTTTTTATAATGTATTGTCCTGTCTAGTGATGTATTTTTATGGTTCCATGCTAGTTTTAAATAATAATCTGTGATAAGTCTAGTTATTTTACTGTCCGTTGTTGACAGTTTTTTATAGTTTACATGTATTTATTATGTATGACTTTTGAAAGTCACCATATGGCTGAAATATTGCCGATGTAACTTTAAATCTTAACTCACTCACTCACTCACTCAAGTCACGATGCCCTTTCTGTAATGGGGGGCACGGGTGGCCAGGTCGTCTAAGGCGCCGCGATTCGCTGTGCAGAGTTGCGTCCCTTGGGCACGCCAGAAACCCATGATTGTGGGTTCGAATCCCGGTTCGCCCCGATTATGTTTCTAGGTTTGTCAGCACCATACCCGTGCTCGTGGGATTCACCGAAGTGGTAAACGTCTGAGACCTGCATCACTTCGGGTTTTCCTCCCACATTAAGCTGTCACGCCTCGATATAACTGGAATAGTGTTAAAAGCGGCGTTAAACCCAACTCACCCACTCACTCACTCACTTTCTGTAATGCAAAAGCACTAGATGAACGAAGTCCAGATTTGTCTCAGGTTCAGAAATCTCCCCCCTCCCTGGAGCTCCTATATTTTTGTTTCTATTTAAAGTATACAATTTTAGGGATTACGCGTCACATGCACAAGCACATCAGTAGCTTTCCGAGTTTTAAGAATGAAGTAACAAAGAACTAACTTCTAGGACATAAATATATTATATCAACTGATTTCGACGTGCACTCTGCACTGTACAGTTTACCTTTGGTAAACACTGAACACCGAACATATCCATGAGACAGACTAGCTGGAAGGTGTCTTTCTGAGCAGATGCTGAGAACAACATGCACATGAATTGTTTGGTGTTGAGGGTAACCACAAAAGCAAAACGGGACTACAGATCTGTGTCAGTACACACAATGCATATATATGTAAGGGCAAATGCAACCGTTTGGCGATATTATAGTAGATTGTTTTTTGTTTGTTTTTTTTGTTTGACGCCGCACTCAGCGATATTCCAGCTTTATGACGGCGGTCTGTAAATAAGCGAATCTGAACCAGACAATCCAGTGATTGATATCATGAGCATCACTCCACGCTATAGGGATCCCTGCATCAACCAAGTCAGCGAGCCTGACAACCCGATCCCGTTAGTCGCCTCTTAGTTGAGGTGGAGCATTGCGTGAGTTGGTTTATTGCCGCTTTGGAACACCATTTCAGCCAACCCCTGAGTAGTAGACGACTTTTACCCCCATTGTTCAGAGGCTATAAATATTATACAATATATGTTATCTCTGAGGTTTATCCGAACGTTAGTTCCATGTAGTTACATTGTACAGGCCATTCATAATTGCTTCATGTCAAAATTACTTCTGAATCCATGTGTAAGTGTGTTTGTTTGTTGTTTTACGCCGAATTCAGCAATAGTCCAGCTATGTGACTTTAACGGCGAATTCAGCAATAGTACAGTTATATGACGGCGGTCTGTGAATAGTCGAGTCTGAACCAGACAATCCAGTGAATTACATCGATCCACGCAATTGGGATACGATGACATCCATCAACCAAGTCAGCGAGCCTGAACACCTGATCCCGTTAGTCGCCTCTTACGACAAGCATAGTCACCGGCTCCGGCAAGCATTGGTTGCTGAAGACCTATTCTACCCTGGATCTTAACGGTAACCTTACATTTTGCTTCAGCGGACAACATCGCTGAAGCTCACATTAGACTTGGTTTAGCAGAAATCCGTATTAGTATTGGCTGAACAGTGGGTGGTTCGAGACTGAGACCGTATTCTCAAAATGCTGACGTGACATACTTTTATGACGGATAGGCTGCACTGCCGCCCAAGGCCTTTGTGACATTCACTCGGTAATCGACTTCATCTCAGTCGTTGTGTCATACTGAACAAGGCATAGTAGAGTTACCTTTTTATTCACATCAGTGTTTATACAGACAATGACGTGTGATCTCGGGCTTCGTACTCTGTGTCTGTTAAATCTCATCCTTTGAGTTCTTCTGAAAAGAAAAAAAATGACTGTCGGTTCGAAAGGTGAGTAGGCACAGATTGATAGGTTATTCTCTTTATTTACAAGCGGCATTGTCTTTATGACACTCCGTGGTGGGTTGGAAGCTGGGGTCATGAACCGTAAATACACAAACCATGGCACACGCAAAAAAAACGTGCATTAGAGGATTCCTCAAATGAGGAGAATGCAACCCTGAAGACTTCGTCTATTTGTTGGTCTCGATTTTAGTGGTTTCTGCCACTGATGGTATTCCATTGAAGTTGAACCCATTTGCAATTTCTAAAGCATTTTATGGCATAGTTGAAGATGTGCAGGATGTTAAAACAATCCGTCCTGGTTTGCTGCTCTTTGAATGTAAAACTCCTAAGCAATCAACAACACTATAAGCTGCTACACATTATTTTTTCTTCTCCTGTTTTGATTGTGCCACACAAGACCCTAAATTCAAGCAAAGACATTGACAGAGATAGGACCGTTGTCTCTCTGACATGTCAAAAACTGAAATAGCTGATGAATTGAATGATCAAGGGTTTACAAACGTCAAACGTTTCACCTACAAACGAGAAGAAGCAATCATTGAATCAAATACTTATCTCATGACTTTTTCTAAACCAACTCCTCCAAGAAATATTAAAGCTGGCTACTTTAGCATCGAAGTGGATAAATAAAATCCCAATACACTTAGATGCTACAAATGCCAACAGTTTTGGCATGGGGCACAATCATGCTACAATCAAAAGATCTGTCATCAATGTGGAGAAGGTGGACAATACTGATGATAAATGTAGCAAAACCCCTCACTGTGCTAACTGTTCTGGAGATCATGCGGCTTCCATGAAGTCCTGCCCCAAGTTCAAAATTCAGCTTCAGATAGTCAAACTGAAACATGAAAGAAACATTACCTTCCCTGAAGCGAGGCGTTTGGTCATGTCTACTGTCTCTACTTCCACAGCTGTGTCATACTCAGCAGCTGTGACACGCATAACTTCACGATCAGTTACCTACGTACAATGTCAGACGGATATTACTTGGGTTAACATCGATAGCTTGTCCATGGTACACTCAAGTCCTCATTCCAAAACAGAAGATATGTAACCATCAACACCAGTGGCAGCTGTGACGTCAGCACCAAAACCATCACCTATTGTGACAAATGCTAGCAAAAAAGTTGATTATTCTAGAAATTCAGAACGTGTATCGAAGGGTCACCGTGACCCTATACAAATATATAATAGGTTTCAAACCTTGGAGGACATGGGTGTCTCTACTCATCCAAAAGGGAAGTAAGTCGCCTCGAAATGGGAGACGTACATCTCCTGTTCATCCATCAGTAACAAGAATATTATGAATCCGCTGATGAAGTGGAATTGCAGAGGTCTTCAGACCAATTTTAAGGATTTATTTTTATTAATTCGAGATTTTAACCCACCGGCAATCTGTCTCCAAGAGACATATTTCAAACAGACTGACAACTGATTTGCATCGGTTTAGTTCTTACCATTCTTTTTCACCACCAGGTGTTGAAGCTACGGGAGGATCGTCTGTTTTTGTGAGACATGGTGTGATCCACAGCCCTGTGGCACTTCAAACCAATCTCCAAGCTGTCGCAGTACGCCTGACTTTGCGCATAACATTTACACTGTGGTCTCTATAGATTTCCCCTTCTTCTGCGCTTCAGCGATCAGAACTTAAGTCACTATGTGACCAGCTCCCTAAGCCCTGCGTGATCATGGGTGATTTAAACGGCCATAACCCATTATGGGGAAGTATTGTCGTCAATCCTAAAGGTAAAGTCCTGACAGGTTTTATTTCCGATAGTAACTTGTGCATGTTCAATGATGGATCAAGTACATATTTACATCCTGCTACTGGAACCTATTCTGCCTTAGATTTGTCACGAACAGATACCAATCTCTTAAACGAATTGACGTGGTCGGTCCATGATGACTTGTGTGGAAGTGATCATTTCTCTTCAATCCTAACAGCAAATTTTCACATCAAGGTGGAACTTTACCAAAGCCAACTGGACTTCCTTTCAGGAACTCTGTATTGATAGGTTGAAGCCTGATGTGTTCAGGGATGTTACTGATCCTACTCAGCTGTTTTCTGATGTTTGAAATGAAATTTCCACTCGGCTGTTCACTTCGCCACCTTGGCAGTTAGTTAAGCCAGAGGTGGACCTGACATTAAGTAAACTAAAAAAATCGGACACACATCAACTAATTTATCAACAGCAATATAATGAATTACGAAGCACGTATGATACTCACAGATCTATATTTACAGATGGATCCAAGGATGGTGACGCTGTTGCAAGTGCAACCGTCATTGGATCCAGGACTATCTCAACCAGATTACCAGCTAAATGTTCTATTTTCACGGCAGAGGCAAATGCTATTTTAACAGCTCTAAAATACATCCACAGCCAAACTAAATATAAACAGTTCATTATTTTTTCAGACTCTCTTTCTTGCATTCAAGCTATTAAAAACATGTCTTCCACGCATCCACTTTTAATGGAAATTGTTGAATTGTTTACTGATCTTGCTACTGGCCAATACGACATCGTTTTCTGTTGGTTACCAAGCCATGTTGGAATCACTGGTAACACGATGGCTGATGCTGCTGCAAAAGCAGCTCTCAACAAATCTGTGACACCACTTCTTCTTCCCTACAGTGATTATAAACCCGTGATTAGAACTTACATCCGTGATCTAATGCAAAAGAAGTGGGACACTCAAGTAGGTATCAATAAATTACATGAAATTAAACCAACTATCGGTTACACCTACTTGGGCTGTCAGTCAAGATTTGAGGAGGTCATAATGCGACGATGTCGTATTGGCCACAGTAGATATGCACATTGGTTTTTTAAAAGAAATTGAACTGTATCATAAATTCTGTTAATATGTTTTGTGTATAATAACTTTTTTAAAATTAGTAGAATGAATTTATATCTGAGATTGTAAGTGGCAGTATCCTCGAAGGGGGTTAAAGTACTGTAAAATTATTGTCCCCCTGAGAGGGTATCGTAAGTCCCTGTCATTCACAGAATATTTACATTTACTACACTTTTAAACGTAGAATTTCTGTCATTTTAATTGTGGCTAAAATTAAGTACAATCGCCAGCGACTGATGGGATGATGTAAATCCTGCTAGGGTCCATGCAGGTAGCAAAGTTACTGTAAGTCCCCATGGTCCCTAGTATGGTGATCTACCTTCAGTTGCTGGCGCTCTATAGCCTGTTTTTATAATGTAATGTTATGTATAGTGCTATTGATTTTATTATTACATACTAGTTTTAAATTTATTGCTGTGATACGTCTAGTTGTTTTACTGTCCCTCGTTGGCAGGTTTTTACAATCGTTTCAATATATGTCTTCTATTTAACTATTGATAGTCACGATATGGCTGAAATATTGCCGATGTGACTTAAAATTTTAACTCACTCACTCACTGAAATGAAATTGCCGCTATAAACATTCCAAAGTCCTCTGCAAATCCACACATTCGAAAACCATGATTTGATAATGAGGGCAAACAGGTTAGGAAGAGAAGGGAAAAGGCTGAGCAATATTTCCGCCGACATCCAACTGTTCATCATTTGAATCATGTTAAAATTACAAGTGCCAAGGCACGCAGTACCTTCAAGCAAAATAAACGTAAGTCTTGGAGGAATTATATCTCTAAAATTAATTCTCGCACACCAATATCCAAGGTGTGGAACATGATTGCAAAAATTAAAGGCAAAGGTTCGAAATCGAGTGTCCATCATCTCAAGGAAGGTGATCATCTGTTCATCTGTTCATCTGTTCACAGATAAATTAGACATTGCCAATCAACTGGTCTAAACGCTGGCCAAACACTCTTCATCATCGAAGTACGATCCCAAGATTCAAACGTATCAGAAACAACAGGAAAAGAAGAGGGTTGATTTTACTTCTCCAAATGGAGAAGATTATAATGAGGTATTTTCGCTCCACGAGCTAAATACTGCTTTAGATGAAGCGCACGATACTGCAACAGGAGCGGATAATATTCACTATCAGCTCCTGAAGCATTTGCCTGATTCATGTTCAGAGATGCTTCTCGATAAATTTTCATCAGACCTGGACGTCAGGAAATTTTCCCCCATCATGGTGTAATGCAATAGTTGTTCCCATACCTAAACCTGGTAGGGACCATACTGATGCATCTAATTATCGACCAATATCACTAACCAGCTGTGTGTGCCAATCTATGGAACGAATGGCAAACAATCGACTGGTGTGGTACTTGAAAACTAACAATCTTATAAGTAACATTCAATGTGGTTTCCGTCAAAATAGAAGTACCATTGACCATCTGGTACGTTTAGAATCCTTTGTCAAAAATGCAATTGTAAATAACCAGCATGCCATATCAATCTTTATTTATTTAGAAAAAGCATGGTATTTGAAAAGATCTACATGATTTGGGGTTAAGAGGCCGTTTGCCTCAATTTATATCCCAATTTCTAACAGACCGACAATATCAGGTTCGTGTGGGTTCCACCCTGTCTGACCATTTTAATCAGGATCAAGGTGTCCCGCAGGGCAGCATTTTGTCTGTAACTTTGTTTAGTATAAAGATTGATAGTCTGTCAAAGGTTTTAAATGTCGTGGCAAAAATATGTATACCATGCAGAGACAGTTGCAGCTATGTCTCAACAAAATCCAAAAATGGTGTCTTGAAAATGGTTTTAAGTGTGGGCATAAAAGGCAACACAATGGCTGAGGCTGCAGGAAAGCCGCTCTCAACATATCTGTGACACCACTTCTTATACAGTGACTACAAACCTTTAATTAGATGTTATATCAAAGACCTTACGCAAAAGAAGTGGGACAACCAAGTAGGTAGGGGCTGTACCTTCAAAGGGGGTTTAAGTAAAGTAAAATAATTGCCCCCATGAGAGGGTACGTAAGTCCCATTTCATTCAAAATATTTTTCATTTTCCATGTTTTTAATTC